AATCACACAAGTTCTCTGAACTTGCATGCCCCGGAGATTCCCCTTCCAAAACCTACTTATAAATTTCGTTCATCCTTGCTGCTGGTTGCTAGTGGAGCCACTCCTTCTTGCTTCCGTCTTCGAGCGGACCGCATCTGTTCATCTTCCACTATCCTCCACCTGTGCCGCATCTGGTAGTACATCTCTATTTCGCGTCCACCTCCATGCTTTGTCAAGCTGTTGGCCAGTTGGGCCTCCGAATGGACCCATCGAATGACCAATTCTGTGTTGTGTTGAGACTCCTTAAGTCCCAGCATTTCCAGATCTGTTCTTTTCTCTGCGCCCTTGACCACGAGCACTTCTGTATTCATCTTGTCGTACACGTTCCGAGAGTCCGTGATGAGGCATCCTCGTACTCGTCGAACAGCGTCTTCTGCATTCCGTGGATCTATGTCTCCTAGCTCAAGTTCACTCCAATGATAGCGAGCATAGTATAAACTATCTTCGCCATTCACGGCTGCTTGAGCCTCCGCAGCTCCTGGTGACCTGCACACCCTGTCAACTTTGGAGGAATGCCAGACCACTGGCGTGACCCGACCTACTTCGCCTTGCAGCATCCCTGAGGGACCTATGCCTATGAAAATGCCCTGCGTGCTGCCCCCGTCTGTCCGATTGACAGAAGCAGCGTCAACCCAAGCATACATGGCCAAAGGTTCCTGCTCGTCAAAGCGATGTATGATCATGACATGGTCCTTCCGCTTTTTAACCTGACAGGTCAGTTGATTCACCCGAACTATGGTATCCACAGTACTCTGAGACACCTCTGAGAGCAGAAGGCTGACCGAGGCCGACAGGTGAGGCGCCGTCTGTTGCGCCAACCAACTCAGACTTCCCAACAGAGCTCTCAACTGCGTCTTCTCTCTTTCACAAGTGACGGCGTGTCTCTCCCGCCGGCGTGTGGCGTTCAGAGGAATTTCACGGAGTGCTTCAATGAACTGTGGCTGACTCAGGTGATAACCCTCCTCAGTCTTAATCACCTTGACCCCACACTGAATGAAACCCTCCGTATCCTTTTCCCAATCCCCCCACTGAAATCGTTCCTTGATCTTAGAAAGAATCTGCTGCCACTCCCTGTCCTGATCGGCTCCGGCGAACAGGAAGTCGTCCACATGTCCTGATATGATGCCTCGCAGCTGTCCATTGACCCGCCAGACCCACGTACATGGATCACTCCACGTCCTCTGTAGTCCCAGGCCTTCCAGCACTTCTGCTACAGACCTGTACCATTCCAGGGGAGCGTCTACTAAGCCATAGCAGGCCCTCCGCAATCGTAGAATGCTGGATCTTGGAACATGCATAGCATCGCATATCTCATCACAAGGGATGCAGTGCAGTATCCCTGGATATTCTCTGCCTTGGAGAAATGCTCCAGACACATCTCCTTTGAACACTGTCCAGTTTCTCCGAGCTGCTTGTTGTAAGAGAAGTTGTCTGCTCTGGCGGGACATTACTGGAGCGGTGGTATCTCGGAACTCGTATGAAGGGTCTTGGAACCCTAAAAGCACTGCACGTGCCTTTGCCTTCATGGAACCGTCTTCACGCTGCTTCCAGGTGAGAATCCACCTCATATTGATAGCTTGCTCTCTACTGGGTTTCATATCGGGGGGAAGCACTTCAAACGCGCGAGCTGCTACAAAGTTTCGGACCTCGGTAGCTTTCGCTGCTTGGAACTGCGCCCTCTCCTCGTCGGAGAGGTTCTTTTCTCTCACTTCGACGGCTCGGCGCCGCATGGCACTGACCAGATACCCCTCAAAGTTCTGAACCGCTTGCTCCCAACCCTTCTGAGAGTTTGGCATATCAATCTCAACCTGAACCCCGGCCTGAGAGTCGTTCCAGTAGGCTTGTTCTCCTACAAACCAAGCGTCCTCCGAAACCCTGTCCTGCCAACGGTCCTTGGAGGCTCCAGCCTGTGCTCCGTAGGGTCCTGGTCGTCTTGCTGCTCTTGGGGTCCGAGAGGGAAGCTGGGACTTCCCTTCTTCGGCTGCCGCGGGAATCAGTTCCTCATCAGAGTCCCCTTCCGCGCGCGCCGGGGCCGGGCGTTTTGCCCGCAATCGGTGCCTGACAGGTTGCTGTTCCTCCTCTGGTTCCTGTGCCCGAAGCCATTCCTCCAGGTGAGGACTGTCAGCCGAAACATCCTCGTACTGATTGCCTCCTATCTGTTCCGCCACTCGGGTGAAGGTCCAAGGGGTAGCTTCTTCTTGCACAAGACTCTCAACCAACTCTTCTCTCTGAGAGGCCCTTCTAAGTTGTTCAACACAACACTTCACAAGTTGCCTCCCTCTCACACACCAGACTGAAGACCCTGGCTGCATGGTACCATCACTGTTCTTGCGGGTTTCGGTTGCCAGGATTCTAGCAGGGCCCATGAAGAAACCTCGTTTGGAGCCGGGGCCCTGTCGGTTCTTTGATGAGTCCTGTTGCCTCCAGAAATACACAAGTTCACCCGGTTGGTAGTCGTAGACCCTTCTACTCCTAGAGTTGGCTGCTCGGATCAATCGTTGCTTGGCCACCCACTCACAGTGGGCCTTCTCTGCCTCGGCTCGTCGCTGAACCGCCTCACGGAACTCAGTTCCTGGGTTTTCTACAAGCATCTCTGGAGGCACCGGAAGCTGCGTAGTCTCTATGCGTCCTGTCTCATCTGGCGCTTGCCCAAGTACATGTTGAGCCGGGGAGTATCCCCGGATCAGATCCCTCTGATTGAAGGTCCTGACCGCCGTGGCTAGAGCTTCCTCTGCCACTAGAGTGCCTTCAGCTTGACACAGCTTGTCCATGACCATCTTTAAACCCTGAACGGCCTGCTCACACACACCAACCTTCCAATGCGCTTCCCCTGGAACCAAATCCAGAAACACTTGGTGTCTGTCACAATAATCCCGAACCGCCTGGCTTCTAAAGCTTCCTGCGGGATCAAGTCTCAGGGTACGAGGGTTTCCGAAAATCTGTGCCCAACCTTCTCTCAAATACTGCACGCTCGCTGCACCTGAGGGTTGCTGTTTTGGACCCTGAGTCATCATCCTAGCTACTCTGAACCTGGACCCTTCATCAATGATCACCATGAACTGATGCTGCTCCTTAGTGACTGGATGTGTCCAGTGTCCCACATCTGCTGACACTGTGTGGAACTTGGGTGGCAAAGGCTCTAAAGACGCAACGTGTCGTGGTTGGACTCGCTGTCGCTCCTCACAGATGGAGCATCGGAACTCCGATGCCAGCTTTAGCACCTCGGGCGAGGCGCTCCGGCGCTTCAGAGCATCTATCAGATGCTTTGTTGAACAGTGCCCTGTCGCTGCATGAAGAAGGTACAACTGCTTCTTGATCTTTTCTTGTGTTTGCTTGTTTGATCGTTCAACTCCTTCAGCCGCGAACACGGCCAATCCTGAGCGTCGGGGCCGTGGCGGTAGCGGGAATCCGGTACGTCGCAACACTTCCAAGTCAGACTGCCCTAGATGTACATGTCCTCTACTCGTGTAAGCTGACAACACCAGTCTCTCTCCACTCCACTCTTCTGTCTCATGCCATGCCTTTGGGGGAAACCTGACCACCTGACTCCGGGTTGGGTGAACATGTCCCCAAACCTCCTCCCCAAAAGGCGTGATCCTGGACGTTCGGGGACCTGACGGTGTTTCCAGCCCCATTTCTTGCGCCTGTGGAGTGTCTTGCACCCACAACCCCCCCTTTGTGTACTGACCCAAGCCTAGCACAACATTGGGTTGATTGGATTGGTTGTTCACATCTCGGTGCAGGGGCATCCGCTGACCTTGGTTGATCACGAGGGAGGTCCATCGGGTGCCTTCGGGAACCCTGCTTTTGACATAGTCGTTCAGGTACTTGACACTTTGGGTCATGGCACGTGTCCGATTACACAAACCATACTGGTTGCCATGTGCATAAGTGCCAAACACATGATACATGACTCTCTCTTCTCCAAGCTGGCCTGTCCGGGCCTTCTGTGCCTTCAGAGGAAGTAGTCGCAAAAGTTCCAAACATGCGTCCTCACTGTAGTCCTGTTGCTGAGAAAGCTCCTTGGCCTTCTGCTCGGCTGCAATCAGCTCGTCAGTCGCGTACAGTTCTTCTTCAATCCCCTCGGGTCCAAAATCCTCTTCCTGGGGTGCCTGTGGCTTAGGGTCTCCCTGAATCCCTGAAGCCTCTCCAAAGATCTGAACGTCACCCTGAAGACACCAACCACACCGGTCCCCCGATCCCTCAGAAAGATCCCTACATTGGCACGTCCCTCCTTCTCCGAACGTTTCTGGTAGTTGGGACTGTCCTTGACACCCTTGACACACAGCAATATGGTTGAGTTCCATCGTGATGGCTTCCGCAGCTCTCTTAGCATATTGCTCCGTGTACATCCTGCTACGATTCAACGCTTCACCCTCGCACTTCCCATGAACATAGTCCCTTTGACACACACACCGCTTGTTCATGATCTGAGCTAATCTAGCATGCGTCGTGATCAGCTTCCAACCCTTCTTCACCAGCGGTCCGTTGTTCCGAAGTTGCAACCCTACTTGGCATCCATGAGTAACGGCACTATACACAGGATACTGCTTCTGCAATTTCTGGAGCAAGGGAAGTCTCCACGCATCCGATTTCTCCGACATGGACCACACGCAATGAATCCCCTGTTGCACACAATATCGATACACAATAGCAGCACCTTCAAAACCCTTCCGAGCTGCCCCTCGCTTGGCTTGAAGTTCCTCTTTTTGCGCATCGGTCCGGCTGTTAGCATTCTGCATAGGGGAAAACGGTGTATCGGATGGAGATATCCATACGACTCCTGGGCGTAGCGTGCTCACCTGCTGCAAGATGAGTTTCACTCCCTCAGAAGAACAAAGGTCTGCCCCATTCCATGTAGACAGCCTCTTGGCTGCCGCCTCGCTTCCTATCAGTTCCTGTACAGCAGTCGTCAGATGACTCTGTGGCTCACAACCAACCTCCAACAAAGCCAACCTACCGTGACTCACTAAGCCCTGGAACAAACTCGGAACAATTTCCCACGACTGCTGCTCCAATTGGCTAGCTCTCCCAGCGCTCAGTTGAGCACCTTGAGCTTTATAGCCCGCAGTCTCTGACGGGGAGCTGGCTAATGGCCTCACTTCGGGTCCACCTTCGTGTACCCGTCGGACGTGGCCTCCGAAATCGCCCTGGCTGGGTCCTTCTTCCGCGGTCTCTCTCCCTTCAGCTCGGCTACCTCGTCCTTCAGGTCCTGCAGCGTGCCCGTGAGGTTCTGGAGAATCGTCAGCATGTCGCGGTCCATCACCTGGGGAGTCTCGGAACTTGACGCGGCGCTGCTCTCCGCCTTCTTCTTGGGAATCGCCTTGGCCTTGGCCTCGACCTCCTTCGCGGTCTTGACCACCGGGTTCTCCCGGAGCCATTGTGCCAAACGCTTCAGGCGATAGTCGCATCCCGCCTCCTCGGCTTCTGTCCGAAGTACCCACTCGCGGTAGGCCACCTGGTACAGGTTGATGTCCTGGTACTCGAGGGCCGCATGACGGCCGAACCCCACCACATCTTCGGCCATGGGGGTGGATATCAAGTGCGCCTTCTGCAGAGCCAGTCGTTCCAGCGTAGGAATCGTCTCGTGACCCGAAAGGGTCAGTCCCAGCTCCTTGGTGCACAGCTCGATGATCGTGGCCTTCTTGGTGCGCGCCTTGTTGATCTTGCTCACCCAGGCCTGTAGCTCGGTCTGGTGGGTTCCCTTGGTTGCTGGTTCCCCAAGGGATGGTTCTAGCTCGAGTAGTCGTTGGCGTAGCTCGATCCTGGTCCATCCACGTGGTGGTTCCTCTCCGCGGTCCCGCATGAGCTGTTGGAGGTCGCCTTTGTTCTTGCGATCGAGGCTCATGCTGTCGTGCGGGGAGTTCTGGTGCTGCTCGAGTCTCGCTGCTTGAACCACAGATGCTGCTGATGTTCACGTGGTGGCCGCTCATGTCGTGGCTGCTGTTCTCCACTGTCTCTGGTACTTGGCTCTCCGGCTTCAAAGATGAACGAAATGGTCTACCCACATCACTAGTTCGACTAGACACATTAAATTTGGAAGAGAAATCATCCCCTGACTGTTGTTCAGTCTCTACCCTGCCTGAATCTACACAAGTTCCCTTCCGCGGTCTTTCAGGCTCGGACAGCGGAAGGAGTTGTCCCTATGGGAGGTAGTCTTTAAGACTCAGAATCGGCCGTGTGGCTTGGAAGGAATTTGCAAACATGTCGCCGCAGAGTGGCAAGAGCTGGTGGCCGCTCTGTGACCTTTGTGCCTGTACGATACGCTGGGGATCCAAGTTCTTGAAAACCATCAAGTCTGAAGAAAAATCCACTATGGCTCCTAAAGCTCTCAGCGAAGACACGCTCAGAAGGATTGGTCCACTCCCGGTGTCCAAGGTGTGGACGGTGAGCTTGCCCTCCTTGGTCCCGGCCTGCAACCCGAGTTCAATCGTACTCATGCATTGGTTCTCCGAGCTGTTGCCGAAGGTGAACACGGGCTTGCGATCGGTGTCCACCTTGAGGAGCTTGGTGTAGCCTGTTTCCTCAGCATTCCGGTCCAGAACATTTTGGACAGCCGTCACGCTTCCCAATGTCCTTGTCGCGCCACCATCCACGACGCACCAACCCCTGGCCATCGCCTCTTGCGTCGTCATCAACTCCTTGGGCAAGGTCTCCACGTGGTTGGCGGACAAGGCCATCTCGCCGTAGCAGATGAAGGGCGCGCTCTCCACTGCCTCATCGGTGTGTTGAGCCTGCTGGTCCCGCTGGGGACAGTTGGCCGCGCGGTGGCCAACCTTATTGCACTTCAAACACACCATTTTGGAATCGTCTCGAGGCTTGGACTGGCTCCATGTACTCGATCTCCCGGCTGAGGATGAAGCTCCCGAACTCGAGTTCCGGCCCGCGCTTGTCTTGAAGTACTGCCTGGACATACGCACCTGGTGCTGTTTGTCCCGCGCCTCCCGGAGGGTGCGCTTAGCCTGGTGAAGCGCCGCCAGCGCCTCCTGTGCTTCATCTTCTGCTTCCGCCACCAGCGCTTGTCCCTCATCGCTGAGGTTCTCCACGGAGAACCCCTCCTGGAACTCGAGGTCCTCGTCGTACATCTCCTCGTCGGCATCCCCCATGTAGCTGCTCTGGTGCCTGCTGTCCCGTTGCCGAATGTTGTTGTCATCCCACTGCGACCGCAGCTCCTGTGCGATCCTCTGCAGAGAGTAGTCACCCTGCACCGCCGTGTGGATAAGGTTCCTCTCCGTCGTGTTCAACGACGCATCAAACAGCAGGTACCAGCCCTGAACGAAGTCCGGCAGGATCTCCACGATCGGCTCCTCGGCGGTCTGGGAGTACCCGGTGTAGGATCCTCCTTGGGACCACCAATCCGGCCGCCAGCCATATTGGTATCCCGTCCAGCCGCCTTGCCACGACGACCATCCACTCCAGTCCCAGTCTCGCCACTGGCTCTGGCTGCCATCCTGGGTCCCGGCCTCGTCATCGTCTTCTGGCGGATCGGTGGTCACAGGGGCCACCGGAGTTGCCGCCTGTGAGCCTGCTTCTGCCGACTCCACACTGGTCCTTCGGCTCCAGCTGGCGTAGCCGATCCCTCCTCCACCTCGGCTCCCTTGGACCGAGCTGGCCTTCTGGTGCTGAGGCATCACTCTTCGTAGGGCTTGTTGGGCTCGTAGATATACTTCACACTTACGGGTGATGTAGTCCGCCATCGACTCCTGTGCCTTCCTCCGCGTCTGCCTAAAGTACTTCGTCAAGTAGTCGGCCATCTCTGACACCTGTGGCTTGCCCAAGCTCGCCCTCAAGGCCTGCAACAGCACCCCGACGCCACCCGGGAAACTCACCCAGTCTGGCTTCCTTCCAACCACCAACCTCCGGGCCGGGCCTTGTAGCTCACTGATAAGACGAGGAGCAACCATGTAGCGCTTGTGGTACTCGACACTCTGCTCATACAACAAACACTGTTCCTCATATTCAGTAAACGTACTCGCTTCGCCCGACCACTGAGGCACTCCTTCTTTCGTCTTTGAAATCGTACCTCCGGTACTGGACATGCTTCCTGCACGCGGCTCCTCGGCGGCGCACAGTGCGTTTTCTTGCCCTGGATCACCAAGCTCTGCGCTGAGCTCTCGAGCCTCCCACCTTCTGGGAAGGCTCCGCTACCGTGCAAGTCCACGGCCGGAGGTAGCTG